ATGTAACCGCGAATACGTGGTACGCTGTGGTTACCGTGAATACGCGGAAGCTACAGCGAGTACGCTGTAGTCGTTATGATAACGCTCTATAAAATTATCATGTATATAAGTGCTTGCTCTCATCCTTAGTTGAGGGAGACAAAATTCCTCTCCTAAATAAAGATAACATAAGCTCACATTCTTTTTATAATAAATGCCTAATAAATCATGAATATCCGAGTATCTAATTTATTGCCCAATTCATGTGACCCTTTTAACGTCAACCATCGGAGTTAAACTCGGCATGAAAGTATCAAGCTCTCTCTCCCTTACGATGGTTACAATATCGGCTGCATAATCATCTAATATTTTCTCAATACTCAAAAATTATCCAATCACAACAATCACAAGGAAAACATGCTACGCTTTTATATATAACGATCCCCGGGCACAATAAGAGGATCATGACTCGAGCCAAAACGTGCTAAAAAATTCTGTGTTCCCAGATCCAAATATTTGGAAATCATGTGTGAAATCGCGGATTACACGCGCCTTAACATCGCACTTTATATTTTCTGACGAGCTGGATGATCCTGGACGTTACTGTATATGCACATACTTAAAATATAATTAGTATGAAACCGAATGAAATATGTTATCTGAATAACTCAACAGTATAATTTTTAATCGATTGATTGAAGATTATATTTCATGGTGATCGAATCTCTAAACTTATCTTTTATGTTTCGTAATAAATGTTCTTAAAAATTCGATTTATAACTTAATAAATTATATTGAGACTAGACTCTTTTTCTTTGTCGAGGAATTCTTGAATATATTATTAAAATAATGTACAATATAGTACCTTCTAGATTAACGTATATTTTAACAAACTCGTGTACTGTGCCATGATTAACACAATTTACTGTATATAGAAAAGGAAATTTATGTTTCTGAAATTTGTTATTTCATTTCATTTCCCCGATAGGTCAAACTAATGAAGATTAGTATTATCTTTTTTTTTCTGTAGATTTTCACATCTACCATATTTTTCCCGGCAAATATTGTAAAAAAAAAAAAAATCCAGAGATAATTTTTGTAATAAAAACATTTCAGGTTGATTTAAGGTGAAATATTTCAGAAATACTTGAAACTAACGTTAATTGAACAGCAATAACGATAAGATCTATATATTACAGTGGCTCTGAAAATTGCAGTTAATATTATATTATTATTATGGATCATTATGCAAATTTGACATTGTTTTATTTAAAACAAATTACTAATAAAGTAAGACTTAAGATGTATTAACGTTAATTAGAAGGTTAAAAATTAATGCTAAAGATTAAATGACATACTGTACTTTGACATAAGTGTGTAATCTACAACTATTTTTGTTTTTTACATATATACATGACATGCTTTCTACTTCGATATATAAAACCCATACTGATTATATATATACTTTTTTTTTTGATTTCTAAAGTTTTATTTTTTTAAATAAACAGCATTACTATTCTCCCCAATTTCATCAAAATTAATGTCAAAATTGCTTCTTTCCGGTAATTTATAATTATTATTTTTTGCTTGATTTTTATGTTGTAACATAATTAAATCATGATTTGGTACTATAATATTTTCTTGTTCCAACTCCAATGTACTTGGTTCGTCTAGGGATCCTGATTCTACGAAGTCGTTTACTTCTCTCGGTTGTGGTTCAATAGCAGTAGTAGTGGTTTCGAATCCATTTGAATTTTTTACATTGTGTCGCCGAAACATAGATAATGTAATACCTATTGCTATGACACCTATTATTAACGTTATTACTGAAATAACGACTATTACTATTATTGTTTCTAAGGGTGGTAATGGTCCATAAGTGAATGTCATCATTTGAGTTGTTATAGAAGTGGCAAGA